TTAATAATTAAATTAAAAAATATACAGCTGTTGATTTTTGGGTTTATTTTGGGTGTGTTTATATACATTAAATAGTATAGGGTATTTTTATAATTTTATGTCTAGGAATGGGTATTTAACTAATTTTCTATAATAATAAAGCAAGACTTCATTTCAAATTTGCTAATAAATCTTTAAAATTTATAGAATGCATATAAGCTTGCCAACAAGTCTAGCCCAATGGAAAATGGCATTGACTTACAGATTAGTTATCTCAAGTTCAAACCCCTATGACACCTCAATAGTTTATGTGTGTGAGGAATCACCTCCCCCTTGTAGTGGGTTTGGTTTTAGATTTGGACAAGAAAAAGTTGCAATTATTTAGCAAACTTGTGTCTATTACACACATAATCCTATATGTTAGCAAACTCATTTTATGTTGAAAAACAAATTATCAAGTACTATTATGTATCTTGATTGAAAAATCAAACATCTAATAGTAATTGAGTGTTATTAACTTTTTTTTTTATACAAATATTTTACTTTGGCTGCCTAAATGTTATAGCATTACAAGCAACACTTTAATGGGCATAGCGACTACACCTCTCAAAAATGGAAATTAAAGGCTATTCTAAAAATCTAATCCAAATTCTACAATGTCAAACTTCAGTTCCCTCGAGATTGCATTCAAGTATTTAATGACCCATTTGATAACCATTTTAATTTTAATTTTTAATGTTTATTTTTTGTGCTAGAGTGTAGAGTGAAAAGAGAGAGTGTGGAAGTGAGAACAAGAATAAAGATTAGATTAAGAGGGAAGATGAGAGGGGAGGATGGAAGGGAGGAGTAATAAAAGTGAAAACTAAAACTAAAAACTGAAATCTATTTGAAATTATTTTCACTTTCAAGTTTTTTTTTTTTCCACTTTTGTTACTCCTCTCTTCCTTCCTTCCCTACCATCTCTCTCTCAATCTCAACCTCACTCACATTCTCACTTTCATTTTCCTCAATACTCTAGCACAAAAAATGAAAATTAAAAACTAGAATTGAAATGGTTATCAAATGGGGCCTAAGAAATTAAGTTCATTTTTCCAACTTTTAAGCAATTAGAATCACACATAATTTTCAAGAAATCATTATGGTAGCAGACGGTCTGGTAAGTTTAAGACATACTCTTCGTCATATTTGCATTTGGGTACTTCCCTTATCCGGTGTCATATTGATTAAAATTTTAAGGTTCGTTTGATAACCATTTCAGCTTTAGTTTTTATTTTTTATTTTTTGTGTTACAGTATAAAAGAAAATGAGAGTTAGTGCTAGTTTGGCATTGCTTATTTGAGGTGATAAGTGATTTTTTAAAAATTTTGAGAAGCCCAACTCGTTTGGTAAACTGTGAGAAAATCACTTATTGTTAAAAATTGCTGTGAGAGAAAGCTATAAGAGAAAGCAGCTAATGATGTGCTTTCATTTTCTGATTATGCAGGAATCAGTTTCGAAGAGGCGCTGGGTTTAATGATTATGCGGCAATCATTTTTTGATTATGCGTAAAATCAATACCAACAACACTTTTAACAAAAAATTTACCAAACGCCAAACTGCTTTCTCTCACAGCTGATTTCTCTCACAACAAATCTGACATCGATTATTTTCACAGCATAGCAATGCCAAACTAGCCCTTAGGATGAGAGGGGACAATGGGAGAGAAAAGTAACAAAAGTGAAAACAAAACTTGAAAGTGAAAATAATTTCAAATATATTTTTGTTTTTAATTTTTGTTTTCACTTTTCTTACTACTTCCTCTCATCCTCCTCTGAGTCCTCTCTCATCTTCACTCTAATTTTTCTCTATACTCTAGCACAAAAAAATAAAAAAAAATAGAAATGATTATTAAACGGAACCTTAATTTTTTGATTTTAATATCCGTTGGGACTTTTTTTTTTTGTGTGGGTAATTTACTTTGTATTTCTAATAATAATAAATAAATAAATAATAGAACATTTGGGTGCCTAGTGAATTTCTCATTCGGACACCACTTACTCTGTACGGAGAAAAAAGGGCCCAAAAGCCCTCAGCCTTGAAAACCAACACGAAACTGAGTGCACCCACTAGCCTGCCCTTTCGTTTCTCTCTCTCTCTCTCTCTTGCGTAATTTCATATCGCCGACTGTACCCAGCTGAACGCAAATCACCACAATCATCAGCAGCAGCAGAAAGTGAAGAGACGATGTTCAGGGACGTGTCGAGCTGCAACACCTACAACTATGGCGACGCCGTCTATTGGGACGCCCGCTACGTCGAAGAAGGAGGCTCCTTCGACTGGTACCAGCGCTACTCTTCTCTCCGTCCTTTTGTCCGAAACTACATACCAACCTCCTCTCGGGTTCTCATGGTCGGCTGTGGCAATGCTGGTAATTCCCCCTCTTTCTCCGTTGCTCTTTTCTTCATTGTTTGTTTGTAAAGCTATTCCCTTTTGAGAGTTTTAATCGGCAGGTTCTAGAGCTTCTTTCTCTCTCTGCATTAATGCTCTGTTAGCTCTGTTTGGTTTGAGAGAAATTCTTAGAAAAAAGATAGAAAATAAATTTTTTGATTTGGGATGTTGGGTTTTTTGGATAATCGTTCTTATATTTTTCATTGACAACCGGGCCCTTTTGGGTTTGTTCTGTTAGAGTATAATTGGTTCCCAAAACTTTAGTGGTTTTGAACATTCATCATTTAATTTTAGCTACTTTTTGGTAATTTTGACCTGTGTTTGAATTATGGAGAAGTTGTGACAAAATCAAAGAAATTGGGTTTTAGGGTTATTGCTGGTTTAGTGGTTGGACCTTGTTCTACTCCAATTTCCCCCCTGTTATTTCTGGGCAGTTGTGCTTGAGCTTGAATTCCCCTAATTAAGGTTCTCTCTTACTCCTGCCCGCATTCTCTCTGATAGTTCCATCTGTTTTGGTATATGGATATACATGAATCACCAGAGGGGATGCATTCTGTCTAGGCCCTAGAATGAAACTACAAGTAACAATATATCATTTGCTCTCACACTAATTAGACAATTGATGTCGAAAGTAATAAGGTACCTGATGCAATTAGGGTGCTTTGGCGTCCCTAAGCATGGCATTACCCTTGCCATCCATTGCCCTTGCCATCTATAGATGAAGAACTGTTGATGTAAAAATGATTCATTTCTCACATCTATAATTTCATTGGATTTAGATATTTACTATCTACTTGTTGAGTGAAATTCTGATGGAAAAATCTTCTCTTGTAGTTATGTCTGAGGACATGGTTGCGGATGGATATGAAGACGTAATGAATGTTGACATTTCATCAGTGGCCATTGACATGATGAAAAGAAAATATGAGCACATACCTCAGCTGAAATGTATCCTTTTGAAAACTTACTTCATTAAAATTACCAGTACAATTTTGTACTGCATTATCTTTAGTAAATATTGCAGACTCTAGGCATGTTTCCTATACAATTAGACATGCAAATGGATGTTAGGGATATGAGTGTCTTCCCAGATGAATCATTTGAAGGTGTCATTGATAAAGGTATGTATCATTTCTTTATTTTAGTAATTTTAGAATACACAATACTGTAGACTAATTTTTTCTTTTTTGTCCTAATAAAACTGTGTTGCTGTCACCACTTTTTGCACCTGTGGTCTGTCAAAGGAACTCTTGATTCACTGATGGTATGATGTCTGTTGTGATGTTCTTATGACTCCTCTTAGTCATTACTTAAACACACTCTAATTCTCTTATTTGTTCTTATATTTCTAGTGTGGCAATGATGCTCCAATTAGTGCTGCTCAAATGCTAGGGGAAGTGAGTAGGTTGTAGACTTTAAGACTCAATTGACAGCTGCAATTTTTTATATTACTGGATCAGTACACAATTTTTTTTTCTATTTAAAATGTATTAATTATTGTTTACTTTTATATTCTGTCACTAATCACGGTTGTTATTTTGCTTGTAGGCTTCTTAAACCTGGAGGGATCTATTTGTTGGTAACTGTGCACCCTTAGATGTGGCTTTATATTTTACATTGTTCTTTCTTTTATTGGAATCTCAAAATACATGATCTGTTCTTAAACTGCCACATAGCAGATAACCTATGGTGATCCTACAGTAAGGATGCCTCATTTGATCCGGCCAGTGTACAATTGGAAAGTTAATTTGTACATTATACGTAAGTTTAGTTTTCATATCATATTCGTTTGTCCATTTTCCTGTTCAAATATCTATCATTTTTCAATTCATTTTCCAGAAGTGATTTTGCTTCCACCTTGTTATTTGATTCACACATAAAATCTTTTGAAGTTGTTGATTTTAGTCCATTCTAAACTACGTTTCTACCCACCTTCGGGGGATCTTATTTTGGATAATCAACAGAGACGATGATGCTATGATTTT